GACGGCTTGTTCACAAGGGGCTTTTTCCTCACCCCAGAAGATCTGCCATGCTCAATGACATTGCCCTTCACTGAGGAGGTACTCCCTCATTTCTTTCTATTATTCTCCTTAATTCAGAGTTGGACAATTAGGTCTTCAACTAGCATTTCCTTGCGCTTGTGCTTCAAGTAGTTCTTGAAGTTATTCCAACAATTAGGAGGTTTCTCAATGATCACAGCAACTTGGAATGACTTGTTCAAAGGCATTCCCTTAGCATGAATTTTTGAATCTACCATTTTAAAATCCAAGAACAGGCCAACCACAAATTTCTTTGTCCTGGCGTCTTCAGTCCTGTACTTTTTGTCCAGAGATTCCCATAACTATTTTGCTGAGCTCTTGGCACAAAACACACTGTAGAGTGAGTCTGCCAAGCTGTTAAACACATAGTTTTGGCAAAGATAGTCTGTCTGTTTCCATGTGTCAAGTGCCATGACTTTCTACCTGTCTGGCTCATTCTCTGCCATGGCTGGAGGATCCTTGCTCAAAACCTTTGCAAGGTTTAGCGTGATCAAGTAGAACAGCATCTTTTGCTACCATCTCTTAAAGTTCACCCCAACAAATTTCTCTAGGTGCTCATGGTGACTGAGCAGTCCTTCCGGAACAGTCGGAGTAACACCAGGGTTGACCATAGAGGTCATAGTTGGGGTTGGCAAGTCAGTTATCCTGGGGTTCAGTTCTCCACCAACATTAGCAATAGCAATATCATTAGTGACAATTGCCATTTCTAAAAAATACAACAGAATATCACTTTCTGTGTTTTCAAAAATTAAACTTAATCCTTAGAAAATCCCACAACTGGAAATTTAATTCAAAAACTAGCCTTACTACTTAACCTAGAACCGAACATGGTCAAGAATGTTCCCAGGAAGACTGGAGGGGTCATATCGGTCCCACTTAAAACCCAGTTAGCCTTTTGACAAAACTTTCAAAAGCATGTTGACTCCTAATCTGTGATAAACAATTTTAAGAATCAAATTTTCCAAGGAATGAATTAGGTTAAAACAAACTACTTCCCAACTTACAAGCAATTAGAATAAAATTGTTAACAATTACAAGCAATATAAAAATTGCTACAACAATACAAGCATATAAAAACCTTTAATATGCCAAGCAAATAACCTTGCTTTAAAAATTGGCAAGTAACCACTACTAAACCTCAAGCAAACCCTGTACATTTTTCAATACACAGACACCAAACTAAAATTGTGGCCAAGGTTTATTCTAACATAGAGAAACATGTTATTTATAAAAATAGACCAAAGCAAAACTAATTATGAAAACAGAGGGCTTATCTATTTTCTACAAACCAATAGTAAGCCTATTTATATAATTAATACACAACTGTGCAAATGTTAATGTAACATCTAGTAACCCCAGAAAGAAAAAAACAATGGACTAATTTTTCAAAAATTACAGATACTGAAAATATGCAAAGTAAGTACATAAAAATATTTTCTATTTGTTTTCAGTACAAACCGTGGGTACATCAACTTATGTAGTAGAATAAATTTGACTTTCAAGCAAGAATAACATGGCAGCATGTACAATCAAGAATACGTTTGGCACACCAAATATATGAATTGAAAGAAATTGAAACACACTGACAATAACACATCAACGAGCATAAATATTAATTATGATTAAACTGGGTGCATTTATCATGTGAATCTATTTGGCCACTTTCATGGGAAAATACATAAAGGCTGGACAGGAGGAGCTTCCGGCCTTTATGACTAGTCACTAATGCACCATTAACCTTTGCAATATTGCAGGAGTTACAAACATATTATGCACACTAATCCCACCATCTCTTTCATGTAGCCAACTTCATGAGGTAATTTTTCATTCAATTCTCAATGATTTTTTGCCATTCTTTTTGTGATATTAATATTTCATTGCAAAGTATCTAAACTCATTTAAACCCAACACAATAGATAATTAGGGCCACTTTAATATTTAATTAAAATCATTAAAAACCCATTTTTTCCAACATCATCCTCAGCAACTCATCCCACCCGCTTACTACGAATCGGGAACATCTGATGTGCCAAGCAACACAGTTTTAAATGACATAAAATTAAATAAAATAGAAGTAAATTACACAAATTTTGAGTGTATACTGAAATGAATATAATAAATTGTACAGTAATCTTTCTTGAATTTAAAAGAAATACAAGAAGTTTAACAATTTTAGTATGATTGAATTGGATTCTTTTAAAAATTTTAATTCATATAATATTTAGTTTCATTTTCATCAGTAATTCATTAGTTATATGAATGAAAAAAAATAATAATCAGCTTGTTTGGTTTTGATTTCCAAAAAACACTTTCAGAAAATTCTACTTTTTTATTTTGTGTATTTTTTTTTTAATTTTCAATGAATTTTTTTAATATTTTAAGCAATTTTTTTTTTTTAATTTTTAGACACACCTAATATAAATACACTTAAAAACTATAATATTTCTAATTTTTTTTTAAAAAATTCTCTAAATACAAAAAATACAAAAAAAAATTTAGTACATTTTTCGTATTTTTGTGTATTTATTAATTTTTTAAAATATTTTTTAACAAATATTTTACTATTTAGATATAGGTGCATCTAAAAACGTAAAAAAAATTACTTAAAATTTTAAAAATATTCACTAAAAACAAAAAATACGAAAAACAAAAAACCTAATTTTTAGAAAACTGAAACTAAGCACACTGAATTTTTTTTTATTATTCTGAAATGTCTATTTTTTCTTGTATTTTCACATCATCAACATTGTTTCCTTTTGCCTTACTAAGATGGAGGTTAAAGTAATTATGTCAAAACAATAGAACTTGCTATATTTTCTCTAACTTTCATGAAAACTCAATGTAATTTGCCTTAAATTCCACTACTATGATAAATTACTTGGATTTTTTAAAAACTAAGCAGTCAAACTAAACAACTCAAACTGAGCTTTGAATTTTTTAAAATTTTGTGATGACATATTTTAAAATCAACAATGTTAGGTAGTTCAAAATTTTGTGGCTCAAATGATTTTGAGTGCAAATCAGCGCAAAACGACGTCGTTTTGATAGATTTGAGCCATTTGAAGTACAAAATTTTGAGCTACCAAACATTTTCCTTTTAAAATTTGGTGTGAATTTAAAATAAAAATTTAAAAGTTCAAATTAAATTCAGATTAGATTTGAAGAAAATACCAAGCAATCCGAATAAGCTATGGCAATCTATGGAGGACGCACCATGGTCTTGGAAAAGAACTGAAAATAGCTAGGGATTGCATTTGAATGTGAAGAGGACATTCGTTTGATCAGTGAGTACTCCAGAGACTGCTCCATAGAACTAACTGTTCCATCAAAGACATCTACTATGAGGCAATCCAATCTAGTAAAGATTGTTTTTAGAAATCAATTATTTTAATTTTTTTTTTAATTTTTTACAAAAAAAAAATGTATAAAAAAAGTCAGAATAATTATATTTTTTGTAATGATATTTTAACTATTGTAGTCTATTACCAAAATAGTTATAACGCTCGCAAAACTTGGAGTTGATCAAGTGGAGCTTTTATTAATATTAACCCATGTTATTTCTTAAGACCTCATTCCTTTCTATTTATTTTTATTTCCAATTTATCTTATTATCATATTCCTAACTTCTCAATCCTAACCATAATCCTAATTGCGGCGACGTTCCTCACTAGCTCCGACTGCATTTCTCTGACCACTCTCGCTATGCACTGTCCCTCTGTAGCATTGGTCAGCACCCTCGAATCCTTTTCCAACATGTTTTCTACTTGCAGATGCCATCATCGTACTACTAATTAAAGGGCCTTTTGAGTCAGTTTTTTTGAGTCGGCAGATTTTGCCGTCGCAAAAGCTAATCTTTTTGCGATGGCATGGAGTTACCGACGCAAATACCAAATTTTAGCGTCGGCACATTAATATTTTATATAATTACTTGAGTTGGTTGAATTTATTGACGCAAAAGATAGTCCTTTTGCGTCGGTAAACTCGTGCCGATGCAAAAAATTAGACCTTTTTGTATTGGCAACTGATGCCGTAGCAATAAAAATATTTTTATACTCAAGATATATATATTTACTTGATTATATGTAATAAATATATTTGTTTATACATATACTTTTATATTAATATTGAGTGTGTATATACTATAAATAATATATATCTCATTTAAAATTAAAAAGAGGTATTGTGGTGAAGTGGACTAAGCGTGATAAGTTGTGTTTAAGTTACCTAGATGAAGTGGGTTTGAATCTCAAGAGCCTCAATGAGGAAACCATGGGTTAGATTTTTTAAAACATTTAAGTACTTTTTGCGTTGTCAGTTTACTGTCTCAAAAAATTCAAATTTTTTGCGACCTTACCATTTTCGTCTCTTGAGTTGCCGTCACAGTGCCGTTGCAAAAAATTTTTGCGTCGGCAAATATGCTAATTGCAATGGCATGCTGTCGGCTCAAAAACTCTCTTTTTTAGTAGTGTCGTGACCTTTACCTTCGCCTTTTCTCTTCTTTTTATTTATTTATTTTTTCTCTTATTATTTTTCTTATTTGCGATCTGTAAATCCTTAATCTAGGTTTTTCGTGGCACAGAAGAAGAAGAAGAGAAAAAGGAGATGGGAAACGACGACAAGATAAGAAGAAGAAGAATGAGGAGTAAAGGAAGCGTGGTGGTGGTAATAGCAATGACAAAAGAAGAAGAAGGAAAAAACAAATTTAGAAGGAATGAGAGGCTATCAAAAAGGAAAAGAGTGCTTGGACGATTGCCAGAGGAGGAGGAGGAGGAGGAGGAGGGTCACCTGAGGAGAAGAAGAGATCAGTAGAATCGTTGAAGGTGGGGGCGGGAGCTTTCAAAGTTAGGTGCAGTGCAGTGGTGTGGTTGAAAATGATAAAAATGAAATTATAGTGCGTGTTCAAAACAAAAAATGATATGAAAACAATTTTGGGGCAAGTCAACATGACCAAAAATTCTAGTGACTCTGACTCACTAGACAACCTCGTTGGCATGTTTGTTAGCTTTTTTGATCCGATACCACCAGGTAAACTTTTACAAGCTCCTGATGAAAATCCAAGAGAAGATGACATCGAACATCTTCTAGGCCTGTTGCATTATTGTTGTTGCAGTGAATTTCATTCAATGGTACCCCAAAGAAATACTGTTGGAAGAAAAGGTGAGTCCCTAAAATCTGCAAAAGAGCTCCAAGAAGCCGGGATCAAATTCAAGAAGATTGAGGGACGGAATATGTTCAACATAAGGTTTGTAAATCGGACAATGGAAATCCCAATTTTAAAAATTGAGGACGATACAGAGTGTTTTTTCAGAAATTTAATTGCATACGAGCAATACCTTCCTGACACTTCAAGGAATTATTTCACTGCTTATCGCAAGTTTATGGATCGCCTTGTGAACACCTCAGAAGATGTCGAAATACTTACTCACCGTGGAATTATTTTAAACCATTTAGGTGACAATGAAGCGGTTGCGGCTATGATAAACAAGCTCGGCTCCAATGTCATATCATCTAATGTAGGTTACAACGAAGTTTATGACAATGTGAATGAGCATTGCAGGGGGAAATGGAACTTATGGTTGGCGATCTTAAGACGGGATTATTTCAACACTCCATGGGCACTCATCTCGTTTCTTGCTGCTGTTGTGTTGCTTTTGCTCACTGTGTTACAAACCATATTTAGTATTCATCCTGTTGGAAAATATAACTAGATATCTCTGCTTCAAGTCTTGTTTTGTTTCTTGTTATGCCGCTAAATAAAAGAAGCTAGACTATGAGGTAGGTTGGTTGGTTTTGTTACTCGCTCTTGTTTTGGCTCCGCGATTCTTTGTTGAAGAATGGGAGCCTTGTGTGATGGTTTCTTTTCAATAATATCTCTTTCTACTGTTCAACATAAAAAGAACAACAAAAATGTTTTAGACCTCTAAAAAGAGAGTTCTAATGGAACACTAATTTATTTTCTTCTTTCCTATTTTTTGTCTTTTATTTCACTGATTTTTTCTTTTTTTTTTCTTATAGGTGAACAGCTCATTAGAGCTGTACTGTAGCAGCTCTAATTAGAGGTCTAAAGCACTTCCGTAAGAACAAATATGAATATATATATATATTGACCAATTAGTTGAATGGTTTGGAAATTTCAATCATTTTACTATGGGTTGACACGGGTCAGCCTATTCTTCTTTCGGTATTCTTCTTTCGGAACTCAGTGCCACATAGAATTCAATACATTTAGGCCATGTTTGTTTGGGTGGACATGAGTTTGGGATTGGACTAATAGTCTAATGAAATTATTAATTTGATATTTGGTTAAACAATTAAAGTACGGACTAATTATTTTAAACTTGACTATTAGTTAAGATAGGATACATAATCCAACGGATTCGTAATCCTAGAACTATTAGTCATGGGAATGCTAATCCAGTCTGCCCAAACAAACATAGCCTTAGGGATGTTTGATTAGTGAGATTGATAGTGAGAATTATGACATCAGTATTGGATTAGTTATTTAGTTGGATTAGTGAGGTATATAATTTTCTTTTGTTTATATTTGTTTTGTAATAAATATGATAAAAAAAATATAATTTCAATTAGGACTAATTATTTTAAACTTGACTATTAGTTAAGATAGGATACATAATCCAACGAATTCGTAGTCCTAAGACTATTAGCCATGAGAATGCTAATACAGTCCGCCCAAACAAACATCACCTTAGTATTATTCATACCTCAAAATTCTGTATAGAAGTGATTAGTATTATAAAATTTTAAATGATTTTCATCCTTAACCCCCAAAACCACGCTTGGATTCACCACAATTGGACCAGTGTAATCTGCACTAGTAGTGATGAACTACTACTCTTTCAATTCACCACTATTCTCTTCCTCTTCTCCTTCTTCATCTCCCACACTTCCACCCTCAAATCCCCCCAAATGGCGAATCACTTATTATCCCATAATCTCCACCGTCTCTTCTTCCCTCCGCCGCCACCACCGCCGTCGCCGCCGCAGCAGCCCCGAAACCCCCACAAAACCCAAACCCTCGCCGCCGTCCGATGATCAGAATCTCCAAATGGTAATCGACATCGAACACTTGTCGAACAAAGCCTCACTGTCCCTAAAAAGGCTATTGAGTTCATCCCAATTGAGGTTCAATCAATTCGTTCAATCGGGTAATGAAGCTCTCGGTGATTTGCAGACTTTGATCACCTTCGATCCCAATCGGAGGGTTATTGTTTCTTGTCGTCAGTCCACGCTTCATTTTATTGGCAATTTGCTTCTCTGGAGCTGTGTAATTGTATTTGGTTTTAGGGTTTTGGTGAAATTAGGGTTAGGGTTTTGGGGTCGATTAGGGTTTGGTAATAGCAGTGGGGTGATAATGAGGAGAGACCGTAGTCTTGGGGGTAGAGAAGTAGTTGTTGCAAGAAAAACGGACACACATAGTGATCGTAACTTTAGGGTTCTGGAAAATCCTCTATCGGAGACTGCGGTGAGAGCTTCGGAGGTAATGCCGAAGAATTGGGTTCGGAGGGCGAAGGAGAAGAAGTTGCCGAGTTGGTGGCCGGTTTTGCTTCCCCCTCCTGTTTTGAATGATGACAAGCAGGAGTATCAGAGAATGGCTCACAGATTAATTCGAGGTTGGTTATGCTGAAAATTTCATTTTTTAAAGTTTTTTTAGCCAACAATCTGCGATTCGTTTACTAATTTACTGAAATTTAGCGAGATCTGAATGTGTTTTGTGCAATCTTTTATGTAACAATTGTATAACCTAGAAATGAGGCTTAAAAAATTCAATATATATAGCCTTGGTTGGATGTGGGTTGGTTTTTTTTTGTGGCTATTTTAGCATGGGGCTAAAAGTCTCGTTTGGGATGATTTTTTTTTTTTGGTTTTTTTTGACTTTTGTAGAAGAGAAAATGAAATAATTATGATTTGTTTGTAACATTTTATCTTATTGACCTTTTAGCTTATTTTGTTTTTTTTTTTTTTTTTGTGTTTTTTTTTGAGTAAAATAGTCCTAAAACAACATGCCAAACATAGCCATAATTGTACTTTGTAAGTGTTCTACCTAAGGTTGCACATACGAGTCATGAAATTGTTTATTGATTTTGGGTCCATCTGGATAACAGATTAGATCTGGGATTCCATCTCCTGGTTCTTTGGTGAGCATTTGTGTTTGAATCGACCCTTCTGAACTGTTTGGCTACACAATTTTGTGTATAACCTTACTAACTTTTAGTTGTTATCCCAACTTTATGGTTGACATTTCAACCAAATAAAATGTGGTATCAATCTTATATTTATAGCTAGTATCATATATATCGTGTAAACTTATTATTTTTATTTGTAATTTTCTAGGTTAGCACTTGAACAAAATTGGAATTTGGTATGGAAACAAGGAGGGGCTAGGTTAATTGGAGTTGTGTGACCTTCTGCTAGGTAGGCATCAATTTTTTGATTGTTAAGGGAATGGATTGCCTTTTTGTTGAGGAGGGTAAGCTCTTAACATAGGTGTTTAACATAACACAAACCATTTTCTTGCTACTGCTATATTTATCGGTGGTGCTATATGTATCAATTAGTGGACCAACTAGTGTATCAACTAGTATTATGACATTATATTGACCCCATCCACTATACAAATTACAAATACTCAAAACCTTTAAAATTATGCCACATTATCTGTTAGTAGACTAATTGGTACACTAATTGGTGCATATAGTATTATTCAATTTATTTATTGTATTTATCTATTTTTTGGGCTTTAGAATTAAGTTTTAGCTAGGTAGGTTCTTTTTTTGGATTTTTTGGAGGGAGGGAGAGGAGAGGATTTGTTGGTCGTTTGAAGGAATTGGGATAAGTTGAAGAGTACTCCCTCCGTCCCAAAATATTAGTCCATTTTAAAAAATGAAGCACTAAAATAATACGAATTTCCTATTTTGCCTTTCTTTTAAATTCATTAATAACACAAAAATTACAATTATAACAATTGATATTCTCAAAAAAATATACTATTAAAGGGTAATTTTGAAAAATTAATATTTTTAAAGTGCAATAATTGTACTACCAAAAAAAAAGTTAGATTCTCCAAAAAAGACTATTATTTTAGGATGGAGGGAGTACTTTTTTGAGTATTTTATTCTTGTTGGGGTGGAGGAGTGATGCATCACCCCCTATGATGCACGGACACAGATACAGACACGGGCAAAGGACACGACACGGATGTGCGGATACGCAAATTTTCAAAAAATGGGGACACGACACGTTGATGACATGTTTAATATATATAATTTTATTTATTTATTATTATGTCTAAAATTAAAAATAAAAATCATTGGTTCCTATACAATTACAATAATAATAAAATTAATAAACACATTTCCTAAATTTATTTTTTTAAAATAAAAATAATTTATTCTATGAATTTTAGGTTTAACAAAAATAAGGATTAAAGAAAAAAAAAAGAAAAAAAAGAGAGGAGTAGAGAGGGAGAGAGAGGGAGAGAGAGAGAGACGAAATCAAGAAATAAAAGGAAGGGAGAGAAACGGAAAAAAAAAGAGAGAGAAGTGAAAAAGGGGGGTGAAATAAAAAAAAAGAAAAAACAAAAGAGGCAAGGGAGAAAGACAAAACAGAAAAGGGAAGGGAGAGACGAAACAAAAAAAGGGAGGAGATGAAGAAGAGAACGAAGAGAAGAACCAGAGAAGACGAAGAGAAGAAAAGTATAGAGAAGATGAAAAGATGAAGTAGAACTTTGAAGACGACGAAGGACGGAGAAGACGAAGAAGAATACCTCAGGCTACGTTACACGGACTCTTCGTTTTTTGGGAGGTACCTGTGTCAACACGACACGACACGACACGATACGGGTACGGGTGCGGGATACGGCTCTGTACAAATGGATACGGGAGGAGTAACGAAAGCTAAGAGAGTAAGGAGAGAACGTGTCGCCGACTTCGAAAGGGCAAGACATCGATCCCTCTGTCGCCGACTTCGATCCCCCTGCTCGCGTCATTCGTCTTCGTCTTCGAAAGGGCCGACTTCGTCTTCGTTCAAGTCTTCGACGAGCACGACTGTAACCCCCTCTCTTTCTCTGTCACGTCTCTCTCTCGCTCGCTCCCTTTCTCTTCTATTCCAGATCTGCCTTTCTCTTCTAATCTAGATCTGCCTTTTGATTTGCGCTTTGATCTGCCCCTCTCTCTCTCTCTCTCTCTCTCTTATTCTTTATTTATTATATTTCATCTTTTTATTTTATTCTTTTTATAAAATTATTTTTTTTAAAACAATTGGGCTGAAAGTTAAGTAAAACTTTGGGCCTATTAAAATTTGAAAAATGCTTGGGAGCACTAATTAGTGCTCCCACTAATTAGGTGGCAGTGGGTCCCGCCATTAATGATGTGATGTTTTGGTCTTGGAATTGTATTTTTTTTATTTATTTTTATTTTTTTAATGCATTAGTGCTATTAGTGGTGATGTTTTTAGTGGGATGAATCATTATTGTTAAAATTTTGGTCAACAAAGGCTGTTATGTAGTTAATTTATATGTTTGGTTCATAAATTATATATAAAAAAATTATTGGATCAACTTTCAACTCATGTTTATAAAAAATATATATTTAAGAAATAATTATTTGACGTACCTCCGTATCCGTTTCCAAATTTGGATCCGTATCCACGTATCCTTCATTTTTAATTTTGAAGTGTCTGACCCTTAGATACGCACCAGCACCCGATACCCGCACCCGTGTCCGTGTAACATAGACCTCAGGTTAGGGCTTCTTCGATTGATCTCTTTTGAACAGGTTAGGGCTTCTTCCTTCAATCTCTCTCTCTCTCTCTCTCCTCCCCAACAGGTTAGGGTTCTTCGATCCACCTCGCGCTTGTCCAAACAGTGTCATCGCGTGTCCAATTGGAAAAATTCAAAAAAAAAAAAAAAGGACACGCTAGAGAGAGTGTCGCAAACGTGTCCGTATCCGACACTCGTACGCAGGCCCTGGGGACGTGTCGGTGCTTCATAGATCACCCCCCCAGAAGCCTTTTAAATTTATGAATGATTTAAATATTTATGTTTCCCATGCTTTGATGGGTAGTATTTAATATTGTGTACACCACACGACTTTTGTCTCTTTGGTGCCTTTTGGTGAATATTATTTAGCTGATCCAAATTCAACAAGCACAATAGCAATTATCATTACGTCATTATAATTGTAATGAGGATAGTTTTTGTTAGTAAACAGATGGTTAGTGGCGATAACAAACTTGCATATAAGCCACAAATGTGCACTCATGTATGTAATTATTGGTTTTGCACATGCATTTTGTGAATAATTAATTACCATGAGAGTGCCATATTTTGCTTTTGAAGGCCTTATCCCAATTCTGTATTTACAACACATGCCAAGGGAAGCATCCACATTTGGGTTCCACTAACAACATTTGAAACCTTGAATGACTATGTTTACTTTTAAGGGAAGAAGGTTTTTTCAGTTAGAGGGAGAAAGTTTTTTTGGTTTTTTTTATCTTGTGTGCTGCTATGTTCATCTAGATATATGTTTTCTAAAGAAGCACAATAAAATGTGCAAAATAAAGAGGGGGCTGGGTGCTAGCAAAAGAGGGAGGCATTTCATTACATGTGGTCTTATAATTGGATTTTTGTGTTTCATGTAGGTAACATTATATGTGTTTCTTGAGTTTCCTAGAATGTTATGGTCATGTATTTCTTCATCAAATCACAGCTTATCAACTTGATTTCCAGCAATCATGGACTATAGAATAAATGGAAGAGACATCTCAGAGGAAGATATATTTCAAGTGAGTGCTTCTTTGACCTATTTATATCTTTGCATATAACACCATCTAAACTGTGGAACACTGGTGTATTATTCCTTCCTTTTTCATGAGATTAGCATGAGGATTTTCTTGGGGATTTGGAAGGATGGGGATTTCTTGGTTCAGGTTTGATGGAAGTGACTTTTGTAAAAAAGATCTGATTTTCCAATATATGAACTTAGGTTAGGGGCCAAATTGGGAAATAAAAGAACTTGGGCATGCATGGCAGTTACTTTGCTTGGAAATAGAAGAGCTTGGACATGGGACCCCACTAGAGGCTAGTCAAAACTTTTTGTTAGCCACGGCCCCTGTGACCCCCATACCCTTCCACACACATACATACAGATAACTGCCATTGGCTAGTATGATTATGCATGAAAGGTGCTGATGCGCTCTTCTTGCATCATGAGCACATTTCCATTGGTTCTTTTGTAACTGTTGTAATAACCTTGGTAATAATTTTTTCACTATGTTCACAGTTTTCATTTCTGTATGGAAATCTAATTAATATATTAATATTATTGTGCAATTTATAATGGAAAATAATTTTGTTTATGATACTTTCTGCATTTGTGTTCTCTTTACTAATGCACTGCATTTTCTTTACCCTTATGGGTGAGTAGTTCCGTCGATTATGCAGGACATCTGGAGCAAGGGTGTCCTTTGATACAACCAATGCCCGGGATTCATTTTATCGTGCATCGATTGACTTTGTTTTCAACATTTGTGGCAGGTACGTCTCAGCTTGTACGATTTAAACCTTCTTGTTAATGGCTTATTAATGCTTTCCAAGTGTGTGCTTCATGTAGTTGTTACTTGATTTCATTTTTCCCAGTGTGGCAAATCCATTTACTTCTGTTTACATTGACGGCGAGGATGCCCGGCAATTCATTGCTGGGCTTGCTGATAACATTGGTCTTGAGAACACTCGTGCTGCAAGAATCGTTTCTGGAGCTGTTGCTGCTCGCACACGATCATGTTTTTTGCAGGCTTGGGTAAGTCTTTTCATTCTCTTACTTGGAAGTAGGAAAATGACATATCAACAGGGTCATGATCTTTCCACAAAGTCATTTATGGCAACTTGGCAAGGTGTTTCAGTACTGCTGGAGTTTTGAATATATATATATATATATTGTAGTTTTTGAATGCCCCAAAGTGCCTAGGTGTCTTGGGGCCCAAGTTGAAAGGACAATTGTACGCTCAAGCTTGAGCAAATTTTGGTTCATATTGTATAGAATATGCAAATTGATCAAATATTGTTTTGATTTTACAAATGGAATGTTGGGTTGGGACCATCTACCAACAATTCAATTCATTAATAATTGTGGATTGTTGAGGGTAAGAAGAGAGAGATTGTCCTCTTTATGGTTTTGTTAGTCCTAGCCCCTGCCACAGACCTTTTAGATTATCTTCCACATTATTATTAAACAACCCCTATATTAATTTCTACAATTTACTGAAAAAGAGGATTTTAGTAAGTTGTGTTTTGGAGCCAATGTTTGGAAACCTAGAATGTAAAAGAACTGGGAAGGGGACTAGGTCAAAGGTGGCTGGTTCAACCTGTTAGGTAAGCTGTAATCAAATTGGAGTGGAACCATGACATTCTAATTTGTTGTCTGAGGGAGTTTGAGGTGAAATTTGCACTGCACGAGATGAGAACAGGTAAGGGTAAGACATTAGGACAAAATTGTATACATATTGAGACTTGGAAATGCTTAGATAAGGAGGGGTGTTTTGATTAACAATTTTTTTAAATAAGATTCTAATTAATGACTAGGAAAATGCTTGATGAGTGGAGAACAATGGAAGCAATATATTTATTAAGAAGATTAATAAAAAAGTACAGAGAGAAGATGGATTTGCATACGATTTTTATAGATTTAGAAAAGTTTATTATAGCATTATTAGGTGTTGGAGAAAAAAAAGTGTGACCAAAAAGATTAATGTGATAAACAAGATATATATGATGCAGTTGCGGCTACAATCCGATCCCTTACAAGAGAAACTAGTAAATTTCCAATCTTTGTAGGATTGTATCAAGATCAAGAGTCAACTTTGAGTCCACTCCTTTACCTATTTGCCTTAATCATGGATGAAATTACTGATTAACACATTCGGGATGATGTCCTATGGTGTATGTTGTTCGCAGATGATATCATTTTAGTGGATGAAACTAAGGAGGGAATTAATACTAAATTACAAGTCTAAAGAGAAACAATCTAGTGAAAAAGGTTTAAAATTAGTAGAAATAGAACTAAATATATGGAATATAACTTTAGTAACAATAGAAATAGAAATAACGGAGAAGTGAAGATTGAATTTTAAATAGTGAACATTTTACAAAGACCATAATGGAGAAGTGAAGATTGAATTTTAAATATAACCATTGTGTGTTGTTTCAAAGTTTACTTTGGTCCTTGCACTTCCAATTGTGATGGTTAAAATCTAACAGATTTAGTTAAATTTCAAGTCAACCCCATGAATATCCATGAACGTTCTGCATGACATGCACTACTACAAAGTATAAATATATATTTTTTTATGGATGTATCCCGGCCATACCCGTATCCTATTTTTTTAGGTTTTGTGGTTTCGGCGTACCCGTAATGTAATTGTACCAACATTCTTATCCGTGCTTCATAGACTCTAATCTATCAATAGATATTATAGATTTCACTATTTTCCAAATCTGAATATGGGATGTGTACAGGAGTGCTTGATATGACATCTCCAATTTCAATAGTTTAGAGAACATACCTACTATTTCTCTTGGTCCCTCTTGGGTTCTGTTCTAATTTCTGTGTCGTCATATTTATTGGATTTTCAGGCTTTTGAGATGCAAGGCAAACATTCTGAAGCAGTGGCGGAACTGTCAAAGATATGTCTCATTCACCAGATATTTCCTCCAGAAGAATGCTCAGTATGTGCTGTTATATATATATATATATAGAGAGAGAGAGAGATAGAGAGAGAGAGAGAGAGATTGAGATTACATGTTCACAGAAAATCTTCCACCATTCTGTGGGAAGTAAAACCTGTTGTGTCCTTATTTTCCAGAAATATACCATCTTTTTTCAGTTATCTTGGGGCTATTGTAAAGCATATGCAGGGGTTCAAACCCCATTGTCTGCCAACAAATACCTACAACTGCACATAATGCCCTTGATTACTGCTCACTTTTGTTTTAGTTGCCCTTGCACCTTTTTCTTATTCCTATCTTATCCTTTATGATGTGACTCCATTTGAAAAACCTGCATATCCTACTTTGTATGTAGGAAGCATGAACACTTGTAGCATGCCGTGTCCACCTCTGACTTGTGTCAGAGATGTTCGTTCATTGGAAATGTATCTAAATGTCTCCTATTATTGGAAAAAATATCAAATTCAATGATAATTTCATTGGAAAAGTAGGACTTATTGGATATTTTTTCTTATTTATTTTTTAGATTTTGACATATTTTGGTCACGTAGGACACATGTCTATCTGTTGGACATACATAAGACACTTCTAGGGGTTAGGCACAAGCTTGAAGAAACTGAAACGGTGCCAAAGATTAATAAGAGTATGGATTTATATTTCCTAGTCCCTCCTTTAGGCTTCTTATTTTTCAATTTGTTTGTGTATATTTGAGGCTTCTATGGTTACATTCGGATCTTGGATTTGTTGGGGGAAAGAAAAGGGTATAAAATCATCATACCTATTCGTTTTTCTATGGGTAACCAAATAAAAAAAATTAGATTTTTTGACAAATGCCTAAACCTTTTTTTTTTTCCTTCTTCCCATTTTCCCACTTCAATGAAACAAAGAAATTAAAATTTTATCGTTCATTTTTCTTTTCCTTTCTTTTCTGTTTCGTTTTTCTTTCCATTCACAAATCCATTAACCAAACATGGCATAGAAGTTAGATATTAGAGATTTCTTCTCATGTTTCCAACATGAATGCAAAAAGGAAGGCATTTCTGTTCCAACATGAGATTTCTTCTCATTTTGTAGAAGGAAGGCATTTTCTGGGAATATAAACTAATGAGGTTCTGTTTTCTGTTGTGTGATAAATCTGCTTGTGCAGCCTGAGATGGAGATGGTTGCTCGTGGCCTTGAGAAGCATTTAAAAGTAGAACAAAGGAAATTTTTGATGGACACGCTTGTTGAGGTTTGTGGCAAAGGGAGCCATAGAAGTATGGCAGAAGCTCTGGGTCTGGTACTTCCAACTTATCTGTTCATAACTTTTCAACACCATCTACATGCAGGAACCCTTATGCATTGACCAAAACATTTTAGATTAACTAAATGTAGGCGTTAGGAAACATATACAATTAATAATTCTCCGACATCTATGTTATATGGCCTTTTTGTTTATTTATTATGTTTATTTGGAACATCTGTGGGTGAGCAGACATCTAAATTCCCAGTTTGGATCATTCGCTTGAATTTTGAAATTTTATACTGTAAATATTTTGATTTGGTATTCAAAATTACTTCTGACATATTTTTATATTTCCATTTTAGTATGAAATAGCTCAGTTTTTCTCCAGAATACAATTTGGCAATATGTACCACTATTACTATTACTACTACTACTACTATTATTAAATTTTTTTTCCCCACCCTATTTTCTTGCAGGTACCCTCACCTGAAGAAGGTGTTAGCAATGAGCAAGGAAACAAGGTAACATAGATAATACTGTGAGACAGTGAATTGTTTTCTATTAGCAAATGAAAATTAGCATTGCATATGCATATGAGCTGATTATTATTCATAGTTGTTATTACCCTATTAATTAATAGGCCCCAAAGGGTGTTCTTTGGCTTTATACAAATTGTAATTCCCAAATAATGAATCATCATAAAATTAATGCAAAGTCTTCCCTTTCTTGTTCTGCTCCAGCATTTTCGTCCATCTTTATTTGGATTTCATAGCATCCAAACCTCTATTTCTTATCCTGATTTGGTATCCATCAAAAAATACCCAACCCATTTAGGTTTTTCCCATCCAAACTGCATATCATAGAAACCTACACAGGATTTTGACAATTGACAATCTGATTTGTTGTCGGCACATGCTGGTTAATTGGTATTGCATGTGTTGTGGGGTGGCGGAGTTGACTTCACACCTTTTTCTTCATTGTCCAGTGGCATATCAGTTGAGTGTTGATTTTCTCATTTTTTGGTGTCACGTGGGCTCAGCAAGTGAGTGTTGAGTTAGTTGGGTAGGGTTGGGAAGAGGCATCGGAAGGCCTGGGCGCTGGCTCTATTATGTTTCATGTGGTTGATCTGGTTGGAATGTAATAGGTGGATTTTTCAAGGGGTGGTTGTGCCTATGTCTCGTTTGAAGAATAGGCTTTTTGCGGTGGTGCTACACGCACCAATTGGTATAAAAATTAGTGTATTAACATATTCTATGACATTATCACTTTAAAATTATGACCCTACCCATTATACAAATTACAAATATTCAAAACCTCTAAAATTATGTCACATCATCTGTTAGTATACTAATTGATGCATATAGCATTGAATTTCTTGTGGTGTTTGATTCAAAGCACACATCTCCATTCATGCACAACCCACGTGGGAGTTCATTTTAATAGTTTTGACCAGTCATAGTGTTTAGTCTCCATGCATTCACAACCCCCATGTGGGAGGAGTTCATTTTAATAGTTTTGACCAGTCATAGGGTTTATAGTATCCCTTGGGGATTTCAATCCCTCACTTTTGGTGATTAGATTTAGCGGTCTACTTTAATTGAGTTGATTAACCATAAATAATCTAGATTATTAATGACGTGGTGGTGGTTCTGAACCATCTCTTCCTCAAATATTTATTTATTTTCCCACGGGTTTTGCTTGGAGATGGATGGATCCATATATTTTTGCTTTTAAGGGTTGAACTTTGACACACGATTTATTAACATGACTCAAACTGTACACATTAGTAGAGAGTTAGGGTTGGTATTTTTGGACACAAATATGAGCTGTGTTAGGGTTGAACAGGTGTACTCAGAACATGACCCATCTTATCCTTGGTGTTTTTATTTGCTAAAAGACCACTTTGTATCAAAATTAGCTAAATTAATGAGGTAATCTCGCAATGATAGTTGCTAGGGGTAAGCAAGTTTTATCTTAGGCGTTAATTAGTTTTTATTTTTAAATTTGTTTAAAGTAATTATTACTTGGGCAAAATTATAATTCTTTTAGATGGAGTAAACACAACTAATTATTATTTTGTAGAGAAAAAAAAAAAAATTAAAAGAAAAGAAAAGAAAAGAAAAGAAAAGAAGCTAATCTATTTTAGCAAAGAGGGGAAATAGGGTTATGAAAATCTCAAAAAATATAAGATGTGATCCGAGGTCCTAGTGTTGAAAAATTGGAACCAAAGAACTGAAAATAAATGAACAAATTCATGGCTTGACATTGTCATATAATTTAAATCTCCAGACGGGATCCAAGATCTCTCATGTTGAAAAATAGAAACCAAAGCATACTCAAAATAAAAGAACAACAGAAGAAGAATATATGAAAGAAACAAATTCAGGGCTTGACGATGTCATTATTTGACATTTTCATGGACAACATGAACTTATAACCTCCAACAACATAGTTAATTGGGAGCCGATGGAACTGAAATAGTAGGGTTGACGAAGACAAAACTGAGGAACTCTGCATCACATAGCAGTTTTGCCATGAGTATCAGGCAAGAACATCATTGCTTCAATGCCATCACCTGACTTGGAATCCGTCAAACCAATGGCATTTGGGTACATTATGCTGGGTACATTATGCTGAGTACATTATGCTGAGTTTATCTTGAACAGGATTAATAACCCAGATAGGCTTTCCCCATCCAAAGTCCACATTGTAGAACCCTAAGCCACACCAAGTACCACATATATATAGCTCCGGTTTTTCATCTGAATACATGTTTCTCAAATTATCTAAAGTTCCAGTCACAACTGCAAACCTTTGGTCTCCTTGTATACTTTGTATGTGGTCACAGTTGATTTTCTGTGTCGCTCCTCTCAGTAAATCCACTGTGCTACGTAGCTCTACTGATTCTTCCCTATGGTGTGCCGTTGTGTGCCACATGATGTTTCCAATGGAATTCTGTGACATTGGCGGCACCATTTTTGGTCGCATGTTTACTAGAAACATGATTACACTCGGCTTTTGGAAGCCCAATGCTTTACATGCAGAGATAGCAGATTTCCATATATGAAGCTAGCCACTACTTGGAACTGACTTGGATTGGGCACAGCTTCGCTAGCCACCTTGGCTTTTAGTGCAGATATTGCTGCAGCATCAAACACAAATCTCTTCCAAACTCCGCCTTCTTTTTTCAGAGACCACTTTTGTTTGAACGAAACTGTTACCTTATCATCTTGTGTTTGCGAGTCTCTTCAACGAGGGAAGAGCGAGGCTGCATTGACATCCGGGTATGTTTCTGTCCTTGGATGACCTGGTTGCCATGGCTGCCCAGCAACTGAGGAAAGCCTGTAGGGTGGCTGCGTCCATGATTCGGTGCAAGAATAGTATGCCGATAGATATTCCACCACAAGTAAATACGTTGGCTTGAATAGCTATTTGAACCGCCTCATTCTGTCTCTCCATCTTCTCAACAACTTGACAGTTAACTCTGGCTTGCGAAAAAGAACACCCTCATCGTTACAAGCAGGTAGAAGATCAACAAGGCGTCGGAGAGAGAAGCTTTAAGTTTATACAATATTTGGTTGACATTGAGATTGGTGTCATCACTCGTTGGGGGCGTAGAAGCAGATGACTGGAATATAAGCTGGAGGAGTGATATGGTCTAGAAGGGAGAGATTGAAGATTTTTAAGTGGGAAGGTGTTAGTGAAGATGGCTTGATGGTTTCACTGGAAACTATTTCAACTTCAAAAACATCCATATTCACCATATTCGCTAACGTGGCTATCAAAATTGTGTTCGTTTTTTATTTTTTATTTTTTTAAGGCAGAAATAAACTTGTCCCGAGTGTGCCTGTGGGGTTGAGTGGTCATCACTTATATAGCTTCCACTTGGATCTCGTGTTGAAATATTCTAATAAAAATAATTGATAATATTTAATTCTTCAATGATTGCATGTACAAGCCTAGAATACAGTAATTTATACCACGTCATAAAAAAATAAAAGAATGAGTTGGGTGAGCAAATTGTGCATAACCCCATTTTAGACCCTTAGGCCTTGATGCCATTCTTGTTAGAAATCGTCCCAGACATTCATTTTGGACTCCTCAAAAACAACAAATCTAACCCAATAAATCTACAACAAATGCCCCCTTTCTTCTTCTTTTTCTGTTTCAAAAAGAAGTTTTGCTTTTGTTTTTGTTTCAGAGAGGAGAGGGAGGCTCATTGTTTGTTTGTTTCCTCAAAAATTTTCTTCTGTTGGAACAATAAATCTGTCCTCTGGGGTTTGTTTTCTGCTACAATAAATCTGATTTTTTCTTCCTGTTTGTGATTAAAATCGGAAACAAAAAATCCACAACAAACCCTTATCAAATTACAAGTCAAAATCGTTCTGTTGGAACAATAAATCTGAATAATCTGATTTTTTTTTTTTTTTTTTTTTTTTTTTTTTGGGTCATCAAAATCGGAAACAAAAAATCCACAACAAACCTTTATCAGACTACAAGTCAAAATATGTTCTGTTGGAACAATAAATCCGTCCTCAGTGATATTTTATTTTCTGCTACAATAATCTGATTTTTTTTGTTTCTAGCACAAATCTAGTTTGTCCTCGTACAATAATCGGAAACATAAAATCCGCAGCACGTGGAGGTCACTGAAGAGAAATTAAAAGCTCATGTTTATACTTATATATCCAAATGGAATTTTCTTACTATATTTTATAAGAAAAATTACTTTTAAGTCTTATTTTTGTTGTGAAGATTAGGAAGTGTTTAGGTGTTTAAGGTGTATATTATATGTATTTGCATAAGTTTTTACAAATATACATAGGTTATCTCACAAAATCGTGTAAATTTTCATAAATATACATAAGTTGTGATTTCTGAAATTCTTATGGGTTAACTCACGTATATTTGTGAAAATTTATATGATTTTGTAAAGTAATTTATGTATATTTATAAGAACTTACGCAAATACATGTGGCATGTGCTTACATACTTAAGAATTGCGAATTTGCTTTAAGGGGGTTATTATTGAGTCCTATCTAATTTCGCCATGGTATTTTTTCCATAATTATATTGATGGAATTTTAATAAAACTTTACCTCTTTGGATTGTTTACCATAAAAAATTCATGGTATCAAACAACAGAAAATCATGAATTTTATGGTATATTAAGTTCGATTCAATTATTGTTTATGATTTTGTTTAATATAATATTAATAATTTGCAGGATTAAAAAAAATTATAATTTTAAGTAAATTCTATAAATTTCATCTTGAGGAATAGTGATTCATTTAGTCTCAATTTTTTTTTTTATAGACCAATTAGTCTCATAAATTTTGAAAAGCTAAATTCGATATATTTTTTGAAAATTAAATTTACGGGTACACCCTTATTTCTATTATGTTTTTTTTTTTTTTTTTTTTTCTCATGTTAGAAAGATAATGTATACAATCCATGAGAATGAAATTTGGGATAAATTTTTATATGAGAATATTTTTATTTAGAAAACATTTCAAAAGGAGTACAAAAATAACTTGAAATATGAGGTTCTTCAAACATTCTAAAAAGATGTGGGATTTTTCAAACATTCTAAACGAGTACAAAAACCCTTTAATAAGTTTTGGACAAATGTATAATTTCAAACTAGGACACTCCAATGTAACATTTAAACATAAAACTTCAAAAAAAAATCCTTTTTATATTTTTTTTCCACAACCGTATCACTCAAATATAGCACAC